TGCAACAGCATTGAATTTCGAGGCATCTCTGATGTCCCATACATTAGCAGAAGTAGATGCTTTGGACACTTCGCAATTGAATTGCCAAACTCCTCGATCACATTTTGATGAGTTGGAGTAAACCTTGACTCAATGGTAGAATGTTTTGGAAAATAAAGAACGTATCCCTTCACATATTGAAACATTAACTGAAATGAAACACTTAATTAAACACAAGAAGTATTAGTAGCTGGTTGATAAGATCAAAGATTTGGATCTCATATCCCCTCCAGTGCTTTCTGAATTATAAAACAAATTATAAGGATTGCAATCTCATGGTAACAAGTTTTATTTTATTTTTAAGATAAACATGAAAGAGAAGAATGTACAGAAACATTAACTAAATTGTGTGCTTACCTTATTAAATAAATGAATAATGTTCACTAATAATGCTAATAATCACCAGTTACTGTCATTAAAGTCAAAGGTAAGATAGATGATATCAAAATTATCCAATCTGGATGCTAATAAGCATGTCAACCTACATGTCCAGATGAACCTGTACCAGAAGTTCCTTCAGAAGTTGCAAGTGAAGAATTTACAGAAGAGCCAGTTGAAGAAGGTGTTCCTCCAACAACTCCAGATGATGAACCAATTCCAGATGAACCTACTCCAGATGATGAACCAGCTCCAGAAGATAAGCCAACACCAGATGCACCAGAAGTACCTTAAGAAGAAGAGGGTCCAACTGATGAGCCACCAGTTAATCCAAGTTCTGAAGAATCACCTGAAGAGCCAATAGTACCAGAAGACGGAACAGAAGAATGGACTATTCCAGGGGAAGAACCAGAAGAACCAAAATCAGTACCAACTACACCTGATTCACCAGAGGAAGTTCAAGAAGAAACACCTCTTCCACCAGTCTCTCCTGATCCTTAAGAATTCCCAGAAGAATATCGTGAAGAATTTATTTTTGAAGAAACTCCACTTCCACCTGTCTCTCCTGATCCATTTGTATTCCCAGAAGAAGATGAAGAATAATTCATTTTTGAAGAAACACTTCCACCAGTTTCTCCTGATCCTTTAGTATTCCCAGAAGAGGATGAAGAATAATTCATTTTTGAAGAAACACTTCCACCTGTTTCTCCTGATCCATAAGTATTCTCAGAAGAAGATGAAGAAGAATTCATTTTTGAAGAAACTCCACTCCCACCAATTTCTCCTGATCCTTTAGTATTCCCTGAAGAAGCTGAAGAATAATTTATTTTTGAAGAAACTCCTGTTGATGTAGAATCTCCAATAGTTTGCCATTCATCTGAATCTACAGAGAAGATTGAATTAACAGCCACTTAAGTTGAACCTGGATTTACAAGCACACTTACAATTACAAATGAATATGGATTTGGATTATACTTCTAAAAATTATAAAAATATCCAGCCTTTGCTGATGGTGAAGAATTCCATTTAGCCAGTTTATAAGATAATGGAAATACAGTTTTGGGAGTATTTGTGACTAAAACTGGTGTTAAATGTGTGACAGCTGATGGATCAACTTAATAATCTACATCTGTATAAAATGATGACTTTGAAGGTGATTGGAGCTTTGTATTTATCAGTCATGGTAAAGGAGTCACTGGATGTGGAGTTAAATTCTTTGAAGAATAACCAGCTTTGAGATAAACTCCTGCATCTCATCCAAATTTCAGTACTTTAGAATTCATAATTGGTGGTGAATAAGATTCTCATCCATCATTCTAAGGTTAAGTTTATGGACATTTTGCAGTTTCAGCACCAAATCTACATTTCTAAGATGAAAAAACCTACAAATAAATTGTTGATTCATGTAATAATCCTCCTGAAGAAGTTTGTGAATTGGATACACATGAATTAGGAGATTTTGAATTTTCTGGATTTGATGATAACTCTGAAGAAAGATATGATTTTTCTACTTGGGATTCTGGTTATTCAGTTTCTGGTTGGTTCAAATGGGAATCTTTATAAGATTAAGATGTTTGGCACACTGTCTTTAGATTGTCTGAAAATACATATGCTGATTTGGATGATATTTAATTAGGAGATAGAGACTTGGCTCTTTATCTTGGTAATGAATTGGTTGGCAATCGATATTAAGTTACTACATATACATATTCAGGATCTGGTAATCCTAATTTATGGGATTCAGTTGAATATGGTTCAACATTGGGTTAATGGCATTATATTTACTTTGGTTACAGTAGAAGAACCAGATATGCTAATTATGCTATTTATTTATCAGAGTCAGAAATGCCTTCTAATTAAATTCATGATGTCCGTCATTATCTTGTTCCATAAAGAAGACTATATATTGGTAATGATGGTTTATATCCTGCATTCAATGGTAAATTCTATAATTGGCGTGTAAATTCTTGTATTGGTGATGTTGCTATTGATGTTGTAAATCCTCCAAAGGATATTATATTTGGATACAATCCTTAACCTGAAGTTCCATAAATTGAACCAGAAGTATTACCTGAAGAAGAACCATTTTGGCCAGAGGAAGAAGAAGAATTCGTTCCTGCTAATCCAGAAGAAGTTCCATTTGATATTCAATCTGAAGAAGAATCAATTTGGCCAGAAGAAGAGGAAGAGTTTGTTCCTCCTCCACCAACTTTAATCCCTGAAGAGGAATCATTTTGGCCAGAAGAAGAGGAGGAATTCATTCCTGTTCCACCTCCTGAAGTACCTCCTGTTATTCCAGATGAAGTAAAACCTGAACCAATACCTGAACCTTAACCATAACCAGAACCAGAACCTGCTCCTTCACCCTCACCTAAACCAGCACCAGGTCCAGCTCCTCCTTCTGAACCTTAAGTTCCAGTTGTCAAAGAGTATTATATTTTATTTATCTATATAAAGATGTGAAGCAACTATAGATGTTACTAAAGAAAACGCTGCTGATATTTTATGTGCTATCTCAGAGTATTTAGCTTAATTAGCATCTGGTCATGTTCCTGAATTAGGTATCAATCCATCAAGAGTATGTTTCTGCTTGCAATATGATGATAGTAATGATCAATAATTAAAATTATTAGGTGAATCAAATGAGGCATTTATGCAAGTTGAAGCCATTCTTAAAGAAAATGATGCATATACTATCAACAAATTAGTTGGCTAAAGAAGAATTTGATTTAAAATAATAAAAAATAATCAAATTTATTATCTATATAGGAAAAGTTTAAATTATTTATTGCATTTATAATCTTATACAATTTTAGTGTTTATTAATAAATATTTCGTATTAATTTATTATAAATAATAATATATAAACTTTGCTTTCTTTTAATCCTATCCTTTAAGATATATATTTTAATTATAACAATTGATATTGAAGAATTGTTTCTGAATGCCCTACAATTTGAAATACTTGAAAATAGCAAAAATAGAAGAACTTACTTGTGATTTTAATAGAATATTTTTATAAGAAATTGAAAATAAAAAAAAATTGAATATGATAACCTTTATTACTTTGTTATTATTATATATTTATCATTGTTGATTTGAATTACATAGCTCTTGTAGGTTATTTACTATATATTTGCTTAAATGATTTATTAGTTCTTGTTTTGTACAATAGAAATCGCTTTAACAATAAGAGGCTTTAATAAATTATTTATTATAGTATAAATATACTCTTTACCCTTAAATTACAAATTCAAGTTAAGAAGCAAATGGAGTCAAATATTTTTGATCAGTTAAAACAGATATCATAGCCATTTAATTTGTTTCTGTTCCTGAATAAACACTCAAAGATTAATTTGAACTAAACTATTGTATAATCCATCTAAAAGGTTCTGATACTCCAGCATAGTGTTATAAAGGTTCTGAATTGGCTCCAAAATATTTTAAAAATTACTCAACTTCATTAAGATAATTTTGAGTATCTTAATCTGGATTTGGAAAATTAAATCCTTCAAAATTATTACAAAAATAATCATCATAAAATTCATCAACATCAGTGAGATTTAACTTACTTTTATCAATTGATATGCTTGGATTAGCTTCTTAAATCCAATAATAAACTTTATCAAATTCAGCTCTACTTAATAGTTCTTTCTCTTTTTATTTATATTATGTTGAAGATTAAACAGCTTTATTGACAGTTTATATTTTTGGACAAGTATTCTTCTTTTATCCTTAAAACATAAAATCTAATGGCTTATCAAATGCTTCAAAATTTAATTAAAGAGGATCTTCAAAATTAGAATTCATGATTTCATCATATGCTGTTTGATTTGTTATATAAGGTTTATACTATTCTTCAAATAATCTATGTAATATAACTGCATAATTTTTTGGGCATAAACCTTTGATAAAACAAACTAAAGATGATGTACATCTAGCAGATTTAGAGGATTGTAGTTCTAAAGTTTCAAAAATACAATTTCCAGATGCATCAAATATGTCTTCCCTTTATTAGTTCATTCCAAGTTATATTAATTACTTCACTCCTTTTTCTGTCAAAATGGTTGGATCTACAATCCACAAAAAGTTTCTATCAATTTCTGTCCATGTATGAGGATCACGAGCACCATGACGCATTATCAATATAGACTAATAAGCTATAGCAGTTGATATCAAAAGACAAAGAATGTGAATCATAATGATGTCACTAATTATTAATTAATTTATAAAATAGTATATAATCCTAATAATTAAGTATTTTTTATTTATATGAAACAGTAATTATCTTATTAAATTCTGATCATTAAAACAAGTTAATATAATTCTAAAGACAAAACAAATTACAAGTTATATCAATCAATTAAATAATACAATATATTAAGCCTTTTAATTTAAAAAGTGAGGACTTATAAAAATAATTGAATTATTTAATAATTAGAATATATAGAGTTATAAATTGAAATTTAACATCAATAAGACTTGAATAAAAGAAATCAATTAAATAAATTTATATAACAACATAAATGTAGAAGTTATAAATAAAAATAAGATTTTCTGAATCAAATACATAATAAATTAAATCATTTATATTGTTTAAGTTTAGAATTTAGTAGTTTTATGTTTTTGTTCAATTCTGATTGTAATTCAAATAATTAATCTTAGTTTGATTATCTGCTAGCTCTACTTTCTTTCCCATAATCAATAAATGAAGTATTTTATGATATAGCAATATTCTCCTTATTTGGAGTCCTTGTCATTTAAATCAATTTATCCTATTACTCAATAATCTTCATTTCATATTCTGCTTTCATTTTATTTATTTAACTTTATACAGATCTCTTATAATATTCTAACTCTTATTATAGGCTTTTATTTTGCTTAATAAGGTTTATATTTTCTAAATTTAAAGGATCTATTCGTTATTCTATTTATTTAAGATAGTCATTTTGATCATCAATTTAATAATATGCTTCTCTTAACTATTACTCCAATCTTTCAATATAGGCTCCACATTTATAATATTAATCATCCTTTAACTAAGTTAAAATTAAACCTTTATTCTTAATTCATGTTCTTAAGACTCTAATTTTCTGTACAATTAAGCTATTTCATCACTCATTCTTTCAATTTGTTTCTCTTATAACTCTATCTTTGAAATCTTATCTGTTTCTTATGAAACAATCTGTTATTCAGCAGCTAATAGTTTTTACTTTAATTCTTCTATAGTTTTATTTGCCAATTCCAATTAGTATTCCATCAGTTAATTTTAATTTTGTAATAAAAATATAATATTTATTAGTATAATGTCAATATTTATCTATATTTTTTAAATTATTATTATAGTTCATTTTCAACAAGGAATTCTTTCAAGATTTTGTAAATAATTTAATAATCCGATCATTTCAAAGTATGAAACTAACAACAATATATATGAACTAATATTATAAGTATTTTCCATAAGAAATTTACCAAAGAAATTATTCAGAAGATTGTATTAATTTATTTAATTTGATTTAAATAAATCAACAAAGAAATGGCTAATTATAAACAAAATTAAATATATAAGGGTACACTAAAAAATATATTGCAATTAACTCAGAAAAATAAACTATTTAAAAATTGATTAATAATCTCATAAAAAGCTAATAAAATATTTGAAAGAGACATCATATTCGTAAAATTTAACTATTTATATTTCTAATTTATACTTAGATTTAAAAGAATACGATAAAATGATAAAAAATTATTAGTCTATTTTTTTGAGAGATTTAATATTGATGATTATATAATTATAAATACATTTGATCTTTAATTTCAGGTTAATCTACCAATTAAAATGGACAAATAATATTGTTTTAAGTATGATAATCTAAATATTATAATCAAACTATTTTTATTCATAAAATCATTAAATTTAATTAATCATGATATTAATTTTTAAATATCTTATTATATTTATTAGATTAAGCAAGAAGTTCTAATTATCTTTTTGAATTTTATCATTTTCAGTCATTTTTATTAAAATTATATTATTTATGAAAAGGTCTTAAAATTATTAATTATCACAACTAAAGGTTTTTGATTTATCTATAACACCTATCATTTAATTAATTTATAAGTTAAATTTATCAAATGTTAAATAAATGATATACTAGTATTTGAATAATAAAATAGATAAAAATGATAGAGGTAAAAATAACATCACATAGAACAATATTAATTCATTATAAAAATTGTACTTAATAGTTTATGACTTCTATTTGTTATTGAAGTTTCTTTATGTCTTGTTAGAAGAACCTGAAAAAATTAATAATTGGATACTTATTTTGTTCATTAAAATATTATTGAATTGTATTAATATTTTATTCTTCAGTGAATTTGATTTAATGCAAATTAGATTTGAAAGTTTCTGATTGTAGGTTGACCTATTTCTTAATTTCAGACTATTCAATTTTTAAAGATTGCAATTTACATTTAATCTATTACTAGTAAGAATATTATATGTACAGATTTGAGGGTCTACTTAATCTTAATTTCTTTAGGTGTTAAAGTGTTCTATGAATTTATTTTAGTTTTAGTTAGAGATTATCCATGAATCATAAATGATAAAGAAGCTTAAGGGGATGATTAATATATTTGGTATTTTCTTTATTAAGCTGATGCATTTCTGACAATAAACATTTTTTGATGGGAATTTTTGGAGGTTTTAGATTTCATTATTAAATAATTAAATTGCATGTTTCATTAAATTATTATAGCCATTTACTCATAGTTATTTATTATCTATCAAGTTTAAATATAGTGAGTATATGGATTTTATATCGTGAAATAAAAGTAATGATTGATAAGATCTCTATGAATTTCTAGTATTATTTAGATAACTGAAATAAATTAATCAATTGTAAAAGAGAACCTTTAAAAGACAAAAATAAAATAATGTTTAATTTTAAATGTTTTGCCATTTTGAAATTCATAAAAATTTTGATTAAAAAGAAATAAATATATTTCTGAATCAATCTACTAATTGTATCTTAATAATTGTATTATATTGATATTATTAGATAAGATAATTATTCAATTTTTTAATTTACCAAAAGAAGAACATTTAAAGCATTAAAAATGAATTATAAATATCTATTGAATAATAAGATTTATATAAAAATACATGAATGAAAGAAATAATGATATTTAATATGTTATATAATATTTATTAAATTGTTTTTAAATATTCAAGAATATTAAAATATATTGATGATGTTTGTTAAATAAAAAGGATAGAATGAATGACTAAATAGTAATAATTAGATATAAATTAATTTGAATGAATAATTGTGTTTTTATTATACAATCAAATTTTATTAGATTCTTTTTCTATAATTTTATCTGATGCACTCATCAATTGAATAAAATTAATATACTAATTAATAATAATAAAATATTTTACATGTTTTAAACATAAAAATGGAACTGAAACGTACATTAGCATTTAAATTACAAACCAATCAATAAATACATTTAAATATAAAGTAACCATTGCTGTCTATAAATATATTTATGAATTATAATTACTTCACTCAATAAAACCATGATAAATAACATATATGGAACTTTGTAATATATCTCTAGTATTTTATATTTAGAGACTGCTGTTTTGTGATGTTTTTCATTGCAATATAAAGTAGAGTACATCTAATACCAATGACTACATAAATCCAAAGCTAATGCCCACAAAAACAAGAATCCAATAGTTGGATATAATTTATAGAGTACTGCCAATAAACAAGCATTTGAGAATCTATCAGTTACCTATAGATATTAATTATAATAAATACCATATCTAAGACACTTCCAAAAACACTACATTAATTGAATTTTCTGGCAGCCATTCCATCAAAAAGATCTCCTAATTAACTCACAGAATAAGTAATAGCAGAGACAATAGGATTAAAGCTTCCTGTGTAACAAAAGATAAGTGCACAAATAACTCTTGCATATCCAATTAGATTTGGAATATAAAAGTATACAGACATATATATATATATTTATATTTAATTAATTAATTTATCATTTTATAAACACTAATACTCTCATTAAATCATCAGCATCAAATCCACAACTATCAAATGTTCTTAATTTATTATTTCCATTTCTTCCTTAAACTAATATCAATTTTTAATCTACTGAATAAAATTCTTCAAAACTCATATCTTTTACTAATTCTGTTCCAACTTTACCAACAACATAAATTTTATCACATTTAAATGATTTAGTTGGTTCATTAGGTAATAATTCATATTCTTCAATTTCAGTCAATAAATTCTTTGTAACTTTAATAGTTGGTATTTTTAAATCTGTCATTGCCTCATTTATAGAAATACAAATGGCTTCTAAATAGGCAATATCTATTTAGCATAATAAAAACACTTCAACAACTAATACCCATCCTTTTTGACCAACTTTTAATTCACTCATATCAGTTTTATAAAGAGATTCTAATAACTCTTAAAGATACTAAGCTTTCTATTTTTCATCATTTGTTCTCTTCATTGAACTTACATTTATTTTAATCTAAGATTAATCACCTAACTCTAACTTTATTCCAGTATAGATTGTGATTTCACCCTCGTATTTACATGAACCACTTGTACATATAAGATGAGATTTCAACAATTTAACTTCTCTCACTTCATTATTTTTACGTCCATCACTTCTTATATTTACTGCAATTCCTCCTTTTATGAATTCTATTTATCCTGTGCTTAACATTAATTGTTTTCACTAATTAATTTAATTCTTTATAAAGTTAATTCTAATTATTCTCATTATTTAACAATACAACATGAATATATATTTGAATTATATACTTTTATAATCTCAATAATTAATATTAAAGTTAGAGATGAATTAAAGCATATGTAATATTTTATAATATATATATATATATATACTAAAATATTTTAATTTAATGAATGAAGATGAAATAAAGCAGATGGTTGAAAAATATAAATTGAGAAAAGAGAATTTCGATTCTTATAAACCAAATAAGAAATATTATTTTGAAAATTCGGATGAATTATTTGTCAAAGCCTAAATCAAAGAATAATAAACTTTTCTTAAATCTTTCAATCATTATTAAGATTTACCAAGAGCATCTGTAAATATTTTAGGAGCTAGAAGATAATGGGAATTTGCTTCAGGTTATTTTTTTGTAACAATCCCTGCTTCCTATATCATTGGAAGAATATTAGCAAATGAAAAATATGGAATTTATAATGCAAATCATAGAATTAGAAGAATGAGAATATATACATATTTTAGCTTTGTTTTAATAGGATTCATTTATATCCCTACAATTCCTGTTTTTACTCCTTAAAATTCAGGCATATTTTAACCATAATTTTATGAAAAAAAAGTTTAGAGAGATCTAGATTTAAGTTTAAACTTATATCAGAATGTTGATACAATTATAAATAAAGATCAAGAACCAAGTTGGGAAGATTACAAAAAAATTTTAAGAAATGTATAGAAAAAAACTCTTATGAATGTAAAAGTGTGAAAATATTATATAATTTATTAAATAAATCCTTCAAAAATCAAATATTTATAATAATAATAAATAGAGATATTTTTATTAATTTATCTCTCGTATAATCTTTAATGATTTATTCAATATTTGTATATTTTAATAATTATTATACTTCTGTTATAAATTGATTATTATGAAAATTATTAATTATATTTATCAATTAAGAAACAAAAGATTATTTAATAATTCATATCAATTTACATAGTGTAATATCATAATTTAGTATATTTTTAAGGTTTATCAATTATGATACAATCATCATCTTCTTTACTATCACTTTCTACAGTTATTGGTTCACCAATTTCATGATAAATTATTTAAGGTTTATCTAATTCAATAGTTTTTTAATTTTCTCTTTCTGGACTTAGGCCTAAATCTATTTCAAATTCTTATTAAAGTTTTTAATTCACATAATTAAATACTTCATTATCTACTAAGTTTGGTAATTCATCTTAAAAATATATGCATAATACATATGTCCACATACAAATCATTATTTAATAAAATGGTTTTCTAGAGCTGCAATTTTATTAAACTATCATACATTTATTAAATAATAAATTAGCATAATATTAAAGGAATTCATAATCCAAACTATCAATTAAATTTTCAATATCTTTATCAGGTAATTAATAATATATAACTTTTTTTTTTACTTCTTTAAAATTTAATTTTTCTTAGCTGAATATAATAACTAATCTTTTCATTCTTTCATTTTATCCAATTTCTTATAATTCATATGCAGTCTATACAAATGCTGAATATCCTACTTAACTATTTAGATGGATATCACCAATCACATCTTTTGTAATGTCTTCTTTTTAAAGTGAAGTTAACATAACACTGCATGTAGCTTCATTAACAAAATATGAATTAGAACATTTAAAATTTTTTCTCATTCTTAAAGATCCTGAAGTAAAATTTATTTTGGGTCCACAACATGCTTTTAATGAATATACAACATCCAATATAAATTCATATTTCTTACCATAGATATTTATTGTTTTACCATTTTCATTTTCTTTTTTAAAAAAATCTAAAATTGGAAAAATTATATCTTTCATTCTTACTATGAATTTTGCCATTTATTCACAATAATAATTATCTGAAATAAAGATTTATTCCAATAAATCAGGACCATTAATTTCTATTGGAGGAAACCAAGTTGATTTAGAAAAATCAATTCTAATTTTTTTTTCTTCTCTTAATAAAGGCATTCTACCAATATCACATTATATTTATGTATATTAATTTACTTTTTAAGCAATAAAAAGTCTTATAGCACTATACTATTCATATAGTTTAATTAATTGTAAATTCAAACATGATTCATATTCTAAATATTTCCATTCATCTGGCCATTGTTATTATTATAAATCCTATTCTAAATTTGGACTTTATTCTTTCATTTTACTCCAAAACTTCTTTCTTATTTCTTTACCTAATGAATCATCATAAAACACATCATATGCTACTCTAATCCAAAACTCAATTGATGTTTTTCGATTTCTAACAAATTTACAAATGCATATTTTAAAACAAGGTGATTTCAATGTTTCATTTATAATATTTTCTAATCTTCTTTATTTATACACATCCCAATCCTTTAAAAGTTATTTATCATTTTCTAGTTTCTTTTCATTAGGTTTTAAAACCACACCCATTATTTAATTATAAATCTCTAAATCATTATGATAACAATCATCTAGATTTCTAGTTAACTGCCTTAATTAAAAAAACTTCTTATTGTACATTTAAATAATTAAATGCTTATGGTCAAATTATATAGAACCATTTTAATAGTCCAATTAATAAATGGTTTTTTATTTTTTAATAATTATCTGTTTTCTTTATAATATTTTATAGATATTCTAATCTATTTAAATAAATTATATATAGAAATTTAGAAATATATAAATTATCTCTAACTTCTTTTCTGAGTATTAATATTCCTGACATTTTTAGTAAAAAAAAATCCTAATTAATCTTATAAATTGCTATTTCTTATTGATATTTCATGTTTTGAATAATTTATATTATGTAAATATTAGATTTGATATCATTTCAATAATAGATTTAGAGAAAAGTATTATTAAAATAATCATATGAATTTTCAGAATATTTATCTTCGAAATAATTTAGAATAACACAATTAAATTTTTATATAAAATTTAAATATTATCATCATTGACATCTTTAAGATATCATAGATATTTGAACGTTGAAATCATAGAAACAATTTAAATGGGAATTCATTAATATTTTTTAAATTGATAAAATAATACAATCAAATTGATTGTATCATTAGATTTTCAAAGAAAAATGTCTTATCCATAAATATTTAAACATTTTTAAGATAGTTCATTATATTTTATTTTGTTCATCTGTTTTAGTTCTTTCTGATAAAGTGGTATTTAATTTAAAGTATTCCTCATTCAATTTCTCTCTTGTTTTTTGCATAGCTTCCCTGGAAGTCATTATCATTCTCATGACCATAAATGGATCAGATTCATTTTTAGCTATTTCAAATTCTTTCCTAGCACTTTTTCTAATGATGTCTCTCCTTATAATTTAGAATTAAGATTTTACCAAGTTTCACCATTCTTATTAGCCCAATCAAATTCTATTGAAAACTTTAATATATCTCTGTATAATCGTAAAGCTTCTTTATTCTGAGTTTTTTTTGCAGCTGCTCCAACTTTTAGTTTGTTGAATGGATTATCAAAAATATGAGATAATATGCTTTTTTAATTCATTAATTATAATTATAGATAAATGAGAATTTCATAATGATGTAATTGTAAATGGAAAAGAAATCTAATTAATAATAATATCTATTAATAAAATCAATCTAAAAAAAGTATGACTAAAATTTTGAATATGAAAAACAAAATTTATAATTATTATTAATGAGAATTATATGACTGAGAAATAATAATAGAATAATTTAGGCTAAAAATAGTAAAATAGTATTGTAATTCTCTCTGAGTATAAATATTTGATATAATCGTAAGAATTAAAGTTTCTCTCCTTAATTATATTAAGTTATATACCTTAATTTGAATCAAATATTTACAATATATCTAATAATTGTAGATAAAGATTAACATTAATTTAAAAAAATGGATTTTAATAGCTTTTATAAAAGACTAAGAGTTAAATAAATATTTATTAGATCTAATTATTACAAAGCTCTTAAATAATCAAACTTGATATTGTTTTATTTATATATTTTAGTTTTAATTAAAAATAAATTAATGGATTAGCATAAACTATAATTTAAGGAAGATTAAATAATGAAAGTACATATAATTTACGATATAGTGTAGCCTTTTAAATAAGAAAGATTTAATATTAAATAATTTTAAAGAGATTTAGAAATTAATATTCTGTCAAAAACAAATGAAAAAATAGTATTTGAGATAATCAATATTGATGCTCCTATTGCTAATTCTTTAAGAAGAATAATGATTGCAGAAGTAAATCATAATATAAATAGAGATCCCTACTATGGCAATTCATAAAGTTTAAGTAATCCAAAATACAAGTGTTATACCAGATGAAGTATTAGCTCATAGATTGGGGTAATTAATAGAAATAATATTAGATTAATTCCAATAATCGCAGATCCTTTGTAATTCATTGAGAAAGATGATTAAGAAGAATATAATGAATTAAATTCAATTGATTTTACATTATTTGCAAAGTGTGAGAAAAAGGCGAATAGTAAGTAGGATGATCCTATTGAATAACAATATACTAATACAACAGTATATTCTAGCAGTTTAATTTGGTAACCAAAAGGATAATAAGCTAAATTATTTGCTGCAAATCCAATTCGTCCAGTTCATTCTAATATTATAATTGCTAAATTGAGAGAAAATCAAGAACTGAATTTAAGATTAATTTGTGAGAAAGGTGTAGGTAAAAGACATGCAAAATGGTATTTAATAAAATGTATTTTTAGGTCTCCTGTATGTACAGCCTTTTATAAATTAATGCCATCAATTACTATTAAAAATTAATTAGATAATTAAAGATAATAGAAGTTGGAATCTATTTGTCCAATGAAAGTATTTGGAATAAAAGGAAATTAAATAAAAGTTGTTAATCCAAGAAATTGTACTACTTGTAGAGAATGTATAAGAGAAGCCAATGGATTTGATAAAGATGTTGAATTGAATAAAATAGATAATCATTTTATTTGTAATAATTATATATATATTATTTTTAGTTTCAATTGAAAGTGTTGGATAATATGAAGCTAAAGATATTATGTTATAAGCTATAGATGTTTTTAGATCAAAGGTATAATTGTACATTAAAGAATGATTTTTTATATTCATTAATATTAATTTATATATTCACAGCATTAATTGTAAATTTCCAATTTATTTGCAAATTTCTCTGTATTTACATTTATTAATATTAATAGGCTTTGTTTCAACCACTTTTTTCAATTAAAACGAAGTTATACGATATGAGAAGTTGTCAAAATGCTACTTGATAGTATTACAAATCTAACTATATAGTACAAGATAATCTAATAATATAATGGCAGCTTCTTCTCTTGGTTCAGGACTCTTTATCTTAAATTTGATTCATACCTAAAAATCAGTATAAAGATTTAGTTTAATTGATAAAACTGTCATAATTTCAAAGATGGCTTATTTCAAAAATGGTAACATTAAAACATAATGACCAAATACTTCTAAATCACTTTTATCAAAAGCTGCTGCAAAATTTTAATCTTGTATTAACATCTTATAGATATTTTGATTATCTTAAACCCTCATCCACTAATGATAAATAGGAGATTGTTACCAATCTTTCAAAAGATCTTGTAAAATTATTTTAAAATTCATTAATTTCATTTAAATATTACTTTTTTATATCAGTATTTAAAGTATATTAATGAAAATTAATTAATCCTAAAGTATTTATATTTGATTCTATCATTAATTTAAATTATTTTGTCTTAAATATAGCATGTTTAATCATAAAATAAAGTATTTTCTCTTATAAACAATTCTAATTAAAAAAATCAAAATGATCTATTAACTTGGCTACTCTAAGAATGAGTTTTAGTAAATAAAAAATGTTCTATAGTATTAAATCATTTTATAAAAAGTCTTTTGTTGGATTTTGAATGGAAAATTAAGGTTTTGGAGGATGATTGAAATAATTATTATTGTAATTTCTATCAATTGCTTCTCTAGGACTTAACCTACGTTTCCATTCATTATCTTTTTATTATTATTAGTATTATGTTTAGCCTCTTGTAATATGAAAGGATCCACTAATTTGAAGTAATCTAGGTCTTTCATTAAATAAAGGATGATCAAACAATTAATTAGCAGATAATCTTTTATTCACATCTACTTGTAAACATTTGATAATGAAATCTTTAGCATGAGCAGATAATAATATCTTTTTTGGAAATTAAATAGGAGTTGTTGTAATTAATTTAATAAATTCTTTTTCTGTTTCTGCTACCCAAGGAGTGCAACCTTTTTTAATTAAACTAATATTATACCGCAAAGAGTTTAATAAAACATAATACCAATACTCCAAATGTCACTTTTTTCGGAGTATTAATTATCCATCAATGCCTATGGACTCATAAATAATGTTGTACCAACATTATAATAAACTTTCTCTTAAACACCCATAATTTTAGAAAATCCATAATCTGCTATTTTAGGTATTCCATTGCTTAATAAAATATTTGAAGGTTTGATATCTCTATGAATTATACCTTTTCTTATTTATTCTACAAAACCATTTATTATTTATTTAAATAATTATGTGGCTTCATTTTCTTGCAAATGATTTTTCTATTCTATCAATTATCCTAGATCACCTATTTAAAATAAAAATAGATTTTCATACCTTAATTGCAAAATTCTGTTATTATATAAGTGTTAGATTATGAACGAATACATTAATACATTTTAATGATATTTGGAGAATCTAACAATCCTAATGCATATATTTCTTAATTTAGTAACATCAATTCAATTTCATTTGTTAATAATTTCATATTGCATACCTTATATTTTAGATAATTAATTACTTTTATTGCTACTAAATCACCATTCAAATCATTTACTCCTTTATATACTTAACTTTTATAACCTGTACCAATTAAATCAGATTGTAAATAACTAAAATGACTTATTTGAATTCTAGGAATTTATTGCATTTATATTATTTTAATATTATTCTTTAAAAGTATCAAAGGTTTATTGCGTTTATTGGGATAGCTTTCAATTATTAAATGCAAAAAAAAATAAGATTTTATAATAACAAATTCAATTTAAATGAGTTAAGACAAAAAGTCCTTTTTTGATTTTACTTCACCTTTTGATTTAGAGAGATAAATCGAAATTTTTCATAAGTCACATAAAGATCAGTTCTTTGTTCCTAAAAATGACAAATTTAAGATGAAGACTCTAGTACTTTAGAGGAACTATCTTATAAAATACAATGAGAAAGTATCATATAATACTTATATAAAAAGAGTACTACATAAAAGTATTTCAACATAACAAATGCGTTAATTGAAATTGTTAGTCATCCAAAAATGGGTCTTGGAATATCACTTACTAAAAATGGTGGAAATTTTACATTTTATGGTATTGTTGAATAATGGTTTATTTATATGAAAAAATGGTGTATCTAATCCAATTTTTCTAAAGAATACAACATTATTATTATGATTGGAAAAGGCAGTTTTGCTAAGGTACTAGCACCTATATTATTTTAGGTTTTTAAAATTTAAAGAATAAGTGATAGAAAAGAATTTGCTGTAAAAGTGTTTGATAAATAGATCTTGAAAAGTTAGGATAGACCTGCTCTTCTTAAAGAAATTGAACTTCTAAGATTGATGAATCATAAAAATGTTGTTACTATTTAAGAAACTTACGAAAACGATTAATACATCTATTTAGTCTAAGAACTGTATTAAGGAGGCGAATTGCATAAGGAACTGAAGAGAAGCAGAACATTTTCAGAGAGAGGTGCATTCATAATAGTTCAATAAGTAATTGAAGCATTAATTTATGTGCATTCTCATGGAATAATTCATAGAGATATTAAACCTGAAAATATTATTTTGAGAGAAGAAGGAATAATAGATTAGGTTGTTTTAGCTGATTTTGGATTAGCAGATTATTATAGAAAGGATTGTAAATATATGTTTACTAGATGTGGGACACCAGGATACGTTGCACCGGAATTATTATAAGATAAAATTTATGATCATAAAGTTGATGTATATAGTTGTGGTGTACTTCTATATTACCTACTAGTAGGAAAGGGACCTTTTGATTCTAATAATTATGATTTGACAGTGAAAGCAAATTTTAATGGATAAGTTGATTTGACTAAATTCAATTTTACAAATGAATGCCTTGATCTTTTAAGAGGGATGTTGGATCCAAATCCATAAAATAGATTAACTCTTGAATAAGTTAAAAAAAGTTAGTTTTTTAAAAGACATAATTTTACTTATAATCAAGTTAGTAGTTAAACAAGTTTAGGGAGCATAAATTATTAATCAGATTCATAAATATAATCTCCATAATAATCACCATATCAAGATAACAGAAATTTGAATGAATAAAAAAGTAGATTTGTTTAATATAATTCTCCTTTACATTCACCTATGAGACTCAATTCACCTAATTTATCACCCTTAACTGGTCCTTAACATAAAAGCCCTAATTTACAGAGAGTACCAATTTAAATATGAAATTAATATATATATATATATATATAAAATCGAGTTAATTTTATAAATTAATAATGTATAAATCCTTTTTTGATAATTAAGATCAGGGTTTTTGGTCACCTCGAAAAATCATCAATAATTGTATTCCAATTATTGAAGGTTTATTTTATGTACCAACAAAAAGTGTTGATTAGTACGATTTAATATCTCTTAAATTATAAGGGAAATGTCTTATAATGAAAGATGGGATTGTATGTATCATTCCTATATATATAGACTGAAATATATGCAGACATAGAAAATGCTTGTATTATGAGAGTTGAACAAAAAGGAATATGTTTAATAAAAAATTTAATTGAATTCTAATTTTATGGTGATGTTGATGACTTTTTTATCAATCTCAAATAATATTGTATCCAATCAGATTTTTAATCTAAATATCATCTCCTCTCTGTAATAGGCTAAGGTAATTATGCAAAAGTATTGTTTAATTTAATTATAGGTCTTTAAAGCCAGAAATAAACATAATTTAGCTGAAAATGCAGTAAAAGTATTCGACAAATCTTCATTTTCATAAATAACAGATAGATTAGCCCTTGTAAAAGAGATACATATTTTAAGATAATTGTCACACTCGAATATTATCTAATTACATGAAGTTTTCGAAACAAAAACTCAAATTTATCTCGTATTTGATTATTTATCTGGCGGTGACCTTACTAATTTCATCAATACTAAATAGTTAGTATCAGAAGAAGAAGCAAAAACAATTATGATGGAACTTCTCAATGCTTTACTCTATATGCACTCGAAAGGTATATTCCATAGAGACATAAAGCCTTAAAATTTACTGCTTCGTAAAAAGGGTCAAATTACTGATCTTGTTATAGCTGACTTAGGATTGGCTGATTACTATAGAAGAGATGGCAAATACATGTTTACTCGATGTGGAACTCCAGGATATGTAGCACCTGAAATTTTATTAGACAATCCTTATGATTTCAAAATTGATATTTATAGTTTGGGAGCCTTACTTTATGTAATGTTAACAGGGAAACCATTATTTAAAGGTGCAACTGAATAAGAAACAATCCAATTAAATACAGATAATAATTTGGATTTTTCAAATACATCCTTATCTAAACCATGTATTGATCTACTAAAAAATATGCTCAACAAAAATCCATTGTTTCGATTTTCTATTTCATAATGTAAAAGTCATGAATGGTTCTAATAAGATACTCAACCTATTTTTATTCGTTTACGTCATTCCATGAAATCTAAACTTCAATTTAACCTCGATTTAAATAGTGAAGACAGTAGTCCTTGTAGTCCCAAAAAAAGTTAAAAACTTTTCAAAATAAAAACGAATATGCTCTCTCCTAGATTAAGTGGAAGCTCAACTTCTAGTTTTGAAAGATAATGTAAATAAAGTAGAATGACTTGTAAAACGGAACCATCCGAATAGAAGTAGACATTTAATAAGCTAAAATTATCAAAGTAAAGATAATCTTAAAAATATTGATTGTCATTTTTGATAATTTATATAATTATCTATAAATTTTCATATTAAATTTATAATGTATTCATCCTTGTG